ATTTAAACCAGTTTAACTTAACTTTTAATTTGGCTCTGTTTTGATTTTGTTTTTTCAGTTTGACTTGGTTTTGGTTTTTTTTTCTAGTTTGACTTAGTTTTTTTAGTTTTTTCTGTTTGGATGTAATTCGGTTTATTTTTTTCAGTTTCAGACTTATAAAATTGAAACCAAATCAAACCGGTCAGTTTTTTTAAAATTCTAATCAGCTTAATCAATTAGATTTTTTTATCATGGTTTGGTTTTTTTTATTGTTTTTTTATTTTCTTAATTTAATCAATTTTTTTATTTTTTCATTCACCCTTAATAATTATAATTATGTATAATTTATTATCAATAATTTCATTAATCAAAACCCATATTTGTCGAACAAGAACACATATCATGCTTCTCGATTTGGATTTGCAATATTATAAACATTGTAGCCATGATCTATAGATCAATATGCATAGTCAATCTTAGTCTAGAAAGTAATTACAAATATCTATCCTTAAAACTTTTGAATTAAATTTAGCTTTTATGGTTGTGTATTGGGTTGAGATATATATAGGATTAGATATCTTTTTTGTATGTAATCTTGGTTGTTTTTTGAAAACAAGATTTTTATAGAAATATCAAACCTTTTAATAGTTGAGTTGATAAAGGTACAAGAAAAAGATAACATGCATGAAAAATAAATAGAATGGACAAATATAAGGTAATAAATCATCTATACTTAGAATTTATCTTGGTTAAAATTATCTAGCTTAGGTATTTTGTTAAGCTTGGCTTAAATTAGCCTAGATTAGCTTGAAATTGGCATTCATTTTTTAAATAATAGCCAAGTTATTTATAGATGTTGATCACTTTAACTTATTTTGACAAGTATGGTACTTCAGTCTATAAAAAAGTTGCACTATTGATGAAAAGTTAGTTAAGATTGTAAAAATCATGTTTGTATGATTTTATGAGTTAATACATGTTTAAAGTGTTAAATCATTTAAAAAACTCGAAAATGGTTGAAATCAGGTTAAAATAGAGAAAAATCCTTAAAATCAAGTGAAATTGTAAAAAAACACGATTTCATAACCGTTTTAATAATTTCAACAAAATACATAAACTGAAGTATATGTTTCTGCAAGCTCCAGCTGTCTAACGCCTATTAACTATTAACTATTAACTAACTGAACATTAAATCGGTTTCCCCTTATCCTTTTCAATGAGAACAACGTATAAACTTTGATCATTAAATCCCTAATCTCCTTCTTGAAGGGCTTCACTTTTTCCGAGGAAGAGGCTTTATGAAGTGAAGCATTTACCTGTTGTCTCAGACCCTGTTGAAAAGAAAAAGATTGCAAATATTGTCTCTTGGATTTCAAAAGTTTTAGAAGCACTAATTGGGCTTGATAAGATACCAGTTACAGTGGTTTATAAGAGATGAAAGAAAAGGGTGAAGTCAAGAAGAAACCAAATCTGCAAGTGATTTTGTGCACTCGAGTAATATCCAATCCTATTTTTTCAACGCTTCGTAAGAAACCTATGTTGAAGAGTCTTCTTTTCAATGATGCCTATTACCCACTTCATTTGTAATACTCTGTGAGTTTGGTTACATGCCTTTGTAGTCTTGCTAGTATTATTGAGCTTTTACTTCTAAAATTGGTTGTTTTTAGTTTATTCAGAGAGGCAATGATGAGGCTTTTCTCAGTCTAAAATCTGACTTCGCAAGATGATATTTTCTTGAAATTGCAACTTACATTCCTGAAAAAATAGTGGCTTTCGTATATGGAGCATCTAAGCTTTAAATTAGTTTTAATAGTTGGGAAACTAATTAAGGGAGAGCTGGGGATTCAAAGTAATAAGTGATATTAATTTCTTATAAATACACAACAATTTCTACCTTTGCTTTTTTTAATAACAAATAATTTTGTTAAATCTCGACAAAACTATGTGGAAAAATCCTTTGTATCTGGAAAAATAAAGTCAACATAAGTAGTAGAGCTCAAGTTTTTTTCCTCTTGCAACTACTAATCTCAAAGTCAATTAATGAAATTTTACTTAATTGAATTTTATTATGTTTTCTAACTTGAACTTATTTTTAAAATGGTTGTTGTTTTTTTGGCTTTTCATATATCCTGTAGTCAATTAATAAACATGTGAATTAAAGTTATCAAAAGAAAATCATTGTTATGATGAACTTTGATGTTGCAGCTCTTTATTTGTATTTGATAGCCTTTTATGCTCCTTTATATTATATTTCAGAGTTGTTCTTGGCTAATTGCTACTATATTTCAAAAGGTATTGTAATTCTTTACTTAAGTTTTATTCTTTGTCTCTATATATCATGACTAAATGGGTAGGTGGAGCCCTTGATCAAAAGATTAGTAGTTCAGCATATCTAGTGATGTTGTTACATCAATGAAAAAGGTTTATGCATGCTTGGTAATTCGGTACTTTTGCTTCGATACTATAAATATGCAAGTTTATGTCAAATACCTCATGTGTAATTTCTTATAGGAGTGTATATTGCAGACTTGTAGTTTTTCTTGGTTATTGCTTGCTACGGGCCTCCTCGATATAAGTTACAGGATTCAGCTACCATGAAATTTGGTTTTATACTATTACTTGTTACTGAATGTTGAATTGTTAAACATACCTTATAGTTTTTTTTGTCACTTGATGTTTGAGAGTTTGAAGCTCTTATTGTAATTTTTTGATTTATTTGTTGGGATTTAGTATACCAACATTATCTAATCATAGATGATCACTTCTTTGGTATTTATAGGTTTTAATATAATTTAGTTGTTGACATTCTAATTTTTATGGATAAACATAAAAATCAAAGAGGATCTAACTCATTTGGTTCATTCTCAAACCTGGCAACAAACCATTTAGGTTTGAAATTGCTCTCAAGTGAGCTCTTAACACATGCAGATTTTAATGTGAATTTTTATTTAAAGCATGTATTTTAAGATGCTTGAATTATGTATGAAAAAAAAAAATTTACAATTCTACAATATATTTTTACAATTCGAGTTTATTTTGTATTTTTTGTGTCGTGTAAAAAATAAAATATATTTTTAATAACCTTAAAGTTAGCATTGTCATGGGTTGTTAGCATTGTCATGGGTTGTTGTGTTTGCATGTGACATTGAAAAAGAAATGTGAATAAAAAATAATCAGTGGTAAAAAAAATGACGTTTTATCTATATAGAAAAATAAATGTACCGCTCCTGGAATTTGACAAGATACATTAAGGTGTATCTAACATATATTAGATAACTTGAGACGAAGGTGATTGGATGGAGTGGGAACCTTTTTATGCTTGGACATGGCCGAAGCATTGGAATAGGAAACTTTTTATGCTTGGCCACACTTACAAGTGCCTTTAAACTTGGGCCTAGCCCAAGCATGAGAAATGTTTTATTTATTTATGTATTTTTTTATTTATTTAGACCAAACTAGATTTGTGGGTCTATACCACACCACTAACTGCAGTATTTTTTATCAATACAAAACAGATTCTTAGGCAACATAAATGTACTTTAGAAAAGTAATTAAAAAACGACTCAATGCATAAACCTGATTGAGCAAAACAAACAGATATAATCTAATTAGATAATAAAATAAATGACACCAACATTTAATTGACCAATTTAAACAAAACAAAATCATGGAAACTTGCAAAAAAAAAAAATCATCAAAACAAAACAAAAAAATAATGAAACCAAGATTTCAACTAGACAAATACAAAAAAAAAAAAAGAGAGAAAAGATAACGAAAAAACCCTTACCTAGTCTAATATAAACAAACATGACAAATATGCAAGCAAAGCCATCCAACCATAATAAGCCAACATAATACAAAAGAAAAGAAGTTATAGTTGAAGTTTAATTCTAAAACAAATCAAATGTACATAAATGAAATTAAAAAAATAAAATTAATAAAAAAACAAACAAACAACAAATAAGACAAGCCAAGCAAACTTTGTAACCTGAATTATATAAATAAAATAACCCAATAAAAGATAAATAAAAAAAAAAATTTATCAAGCTTAATTCCAAACAACAGAATGCTGGGACAAACAAATATAAGGAAAAATGAAAAAAAGCCTAATATAAAAACAAACTTTAGCCATGAAGGATGGAACTAGAGAAAAACAAATATTTACCTAATCTAATATTAAATGATAAAATAAAAAAATTAATTTAAAAAATTTATCAAAAAAAATTCATCAAGTAACAACAAATAAAAAATATCAATATAGCCCAGGTCATTTATCAAATTAGCAAAAAATTATATAGAAAGCAAAAAATAAAAATATCATAACCCTATCTCAAATTGAATAAAAGTTCAACAATTAAATTAAAAATACCTGAGTTTTTTTAAAAAAAAATAAAAAGCAAACCCCATTAAACATAGGTTAATATCTAAAACTTGCAATTTATAAAATTATAAACCTTTAATAAACTCAATTTTCAACCAGTTTAATATTAAATAAAAAAATCAATCTAAAAGATTTTTGAAATGAAAAAAAAAATCAATCAAAATAATAGAAATCAAATTTGATATGAAAAAACAAAAAGAAAATGAAATTATAAAAATAAAAATAAAAATTATCTTAAAAAGAATAAGAATTAATTATGAAAGATCAAAAAATAAATTAAAGAGAAACGAAATTAGAAAAAAAATTATAAATTATTCCTAGTAAAACAAATTGTAATAAAAAAGACTTGTTCCCGACCTCAATGAATAACAACTTGAACATCTTATTTGAATGGGCAGGTCTCGCTACTGATATTCACAAATGCTTAATTTCGAGCAGCTTTGCTTTAACCACACAATACCCATCGCCTGAGGCTCAAAACTCAAGAGTGTTAAGCACTCAAAGAAATGGTAAAATTTGGCCTGAAAGGATGCAAAATTGACTAACATGGGAGCGGTGCTTGATGGGTAATGCGAATTGGCTTGATGATACTGAGTACTGAGACTCGGCATGAGATGATAGATCTGCTACTGGAGGGTTATTTTGGCCTTGTAGAGATGAATTTCAAGACAAGTGAGAGATTATGAACATCACAATAATAGAAGATCAGCTTCAACAACCCGTCACTAAACAGGGTGCTAGATAATTGTCACATTGCCCAAAAAACTCTGACACCCACTGATAACAGACCCAAGCTAACTTAAAATCTACTCCTCTACACCAAGAAGACCACCACCGCCACCCCCTCTCGTTGTAAACTGGTATCAATTCCCTCTTCTGATCTGCTCCTCCAGCCCCCAGCCACTGCCTGCCACTAAGAATTCACATATCCCATCACCAATGCAAGTGATGAAACATCAAGGCGATACAAGTTGCAACGATGACAAAACTAACAAGAATTTCAAAGCCAAAGATGACAACGCGAGAGAGCACATATGAAGAAAAGGTTGCCTCTGAACAATATTTCCAACATTGAGAAAGAACGGAGTCGCTGTGCGTGTACATTTGACGAGTAAGAGTAGAAAAGGTAAAAATCTTTGGATCCCATCATCATTTTCCTGGCTGACCATTATTTTTGTATGGTGATGGTTGTCTGGGATAGGGATCAGAAGAGACTAATATAGCTATTGGTCAGAACAAGCAACATCTTGCATTAAGTTCACAATCAGAGTTTTGAAATGGCAATTGCATGACTAAAATTGAAAACCCACGCGTGTCCTCTTCTCCTACCCTAATATACTACAGATTCATCCGCATTAATCAGAAGAAAGAAGCAGATAATAAAAATGCTTAATACAGATCTCACAATTTCATCAATTTACACTTTCACAAAACAAAATCCATATTCTGATCAAAATTGGAACGAATTCGACACGCAGGAAAAAACTCCCAAAATGATTAAGGAAAAGCTGCATATTAATAAGTCTTGACATCCAAATCAAACAGTCACTACCTACACGAGAAAAATAACTGAATTGAAAACGCCAATTAAAGTCTCATTTGACAGCAGGAATCCATGAAAATAGAAAACAAAATCCATTTATATCCATCACCATCATCATCACTTACTCCTTGCTCTTGAGCCTCTCGACGCGTTGATTCAACTGCTCGATCTTCACAACAAGATGAGTGACCGAGTAAAGAAGCCAGTAGAAAATTAGAGCAGCACCGATCAACAACGCATTCCTCTGGCTTTTCATGATAGATTTCTGGTGACGGAGGTGCTCGGTTGGAGAGCAGGACTCGCCCTCGCAGGTCGGCATCGTCTCATACTTCCAGTATATATCCATCAGCAGAAACAGGCAGAAGGGAACCACCGACATAAACGGCTTCAGCAGATTGCGCGTCACCGCGAGCAGTCCCTTGCGCAGTCCGTCAAGGCCTGGGATGGTCAAGAGAAGGACCATGATTGCCTCTGCGCCTGCGGCATAGCCTAGTACTACCCACTCAAGTGCCATTGCTGCTTGGAAACCCTAATTGATCTGAATCCGATTGGGAAATTTGGGGGTTATGGTTTTGTACTTTCCTTCGGGGGTAAGGAGAAATAGAACGTGGCGTGGTCAGAGAAATAAGGCTGTACTTTTTCTTTTTCATTAAATAGAGGGGCAAATGCTACGGTGCACCTAGGAAATAAATAAAGTAAAATTCTTATGCCTTAGACCAAAGTGAAGAAAACTTGTGAACCAGCCACAATAAAAATAATTTGAAGATTTCGAATAACTCATTCAAATAGATTTTAAAACACAACAAAAATTCTTCTCTCTCCTTTCTTTGATAATTTTCGCTAATCCTTCTTATTCTTGTTTGATAATTGAAATGTATTTATTCTCATATTTTATTTTTATTGTTCTAAAAATCATCAATTCCATTATGTATTTTTTGAGCTTTGTTAAAGGAGCAATTCAGTTCTTTTAAGTCCAGTTTTATGTTTACAACTACATTTTAGATTATACTATTCCCTTTATTATTAGGTGAATAAAAGTTTGATAAGACCAATCATATAAATTTTAATATTAATGTCATATAAGATATAATATATAAAATTCTTCTAAAAATACTATATTTTTATCCATATTAATATATATAAAAAAGATATATTTAAACTATTAAGACAATATTATGTTTTACTCACCACCCTTTATGAAAAAATTTAAAAATTATAAATAAATCATGAATTTTTCAATCGATTTAAAATCTCTATTATCTATTACATATTTATTTCTAAAATATATTCATGTAGTATTATTGTATTTTATTAAAATAATATTTATTTTAGTATTGAATAAACTCTAAATTTACAAAAAAAAAAATCTTTTATAAGTAAGTATGTCATCTTCAGCTACCTTAATAAAAAATAATTGACTAAATTATTAAAATTAAAAATTTAATTAATTATAAAAATTATAAATCTTATTCCCGAGCAACTTAAAATTTTTAAAGTATCTCCACTTTCATTTTCCTTGTTTATTTTTTTGTACTTGATAACCATTTCAAAAAACTCTGAAAGGAGTAAACAAGAAGTCAATGTTTTTTTTTTTTCCTTGCAAACTTGTATAAAAGAATCAATTACAAAATCATTTGTAACGAATCAAAAATCCTCGTAGCAACCCGAAGGCCTTTATATTGTGTACCTGTGAATCTCGTAACTGATTTTCTCAACCATTTTCAAAAATCAGATGCCGTTCTAGAATATTCAGTGAATGCGATTATCAAATCCGTTGCGAGAAGCAATTAGTTAAATTTTTTACACTTTATGTTGTGGCCAAGAGAGGAAGCGATTTATTTTTTATTCAGGTTTGATTTTTTATATATATTTGTTATTCTTGTGATATTTTATTTTTTTACTAGGTTTACATGTTGTTTAGTGAATTCAAGAATTAATTATAATATATATAAATTAACCGGATATCCTGAATTATAAAAAAATTAATTTCTTTAATTTCTTTTAATTTCATAAGGAGTGCGGTTGTAACACATTCTGAGTATGTTTCATTGCAAAATGTCCTAAAGATCATTTTATATTATTTTACATGTACTGGAATTTTAAATTTTAAATTATGAATCTAGTCGGTATATTTTTAAATGCAGTGGACGGGGAAAAATATCAAGCTCTGCATCCACTGGACCGTTTTACCCAAGTATTTAAATTTAATATATTTCGTTAAAAAAATACCAATACGTACATGACCGTTAAGAAACTGGTCAAAAATACTCTGGAAAATTGACTTTGGAATCTAATTCCATAGACAAACACATATGATAGAGATCGAAGCTTTTAAAATTCCCCCACAGTCTCACTCCTCGGCCAGATAATCTTCACTGGAATTTAGAAGCGTAGAATTCGAAATACATTCTGTAAATCTTCAAATTAACAACTGAAAGCCCATTGATTAGCACCTTTTCAGCTCTACAAATAATTTTAAATTTATTAATATTAAAAATAAAAAAAATATTATTTTAATTCTTTAATTATTCGCAGATAAATACGAAAACAGGGAGCACGAAGGGATGACGGGCCGCTGACAAGATTTTGATAGATCCCCCCCCCAATTTTCAGGCGCTATGCTCCCACTATTTTCATGGAGCATCGGAGCACGCCCCCTGTTTCGTATGGTTACCAAGCATATAAATATGCAGAAGCTTCCACTATCTTCGTAATAAAAAATTCCTTCGATTGTTCTACAGCCTAGCTGAGATAAGGTAAATAATTAGATTTCCCCTGCACAGCAGTTCTGTGATTCGGAGCATCCAAATACGCCTTGCATCCTTGAGGACTCGTGTGTTAATTAATTCTCTTTATTATTATTTCTTAGAGAGGAGATATTAATGTTCTTTATTGGGTTTAATCCATGTTATAGGCGTCCCCGTATGAAATCTAAACTATTTCAATTTGATTCATGGCACGAAGTTTGAAATGAAATACATAATATAAACTGAAACTATTTCTATAAAAAACCAAATAAAAAATGTTCTATCTAACTTTGAGAGTAATAAGATTTACGAACAGTATATCTAATATCTTTTTATTATTTTATTATTTTAAATTAAATTTTTTATTATTTTTAGATCGTTTTTATGTATTAATATTAAAAATAATTTTTTAAATAAAAATATTATTTTAATATATATTTTATAAATATACTTTTAAAAAATATTATTAACAAGGCAATTATTATTTGATGCGCATCAAGGACAATAAAATAGAGAAGAAGATGGGAAAACCTAATTTAATTTGAAAGTTCTTTCTAAATAAGAAAGCATTTTGAGTTGATTTCTCATCACGTCATTGGAAGCTTGGACAGTTTTTTTTTTTTTTTTTTGGGCCATCAACGGAATTGTCGTTGCAGCCTCCTAGGAAATCAAATCAAGGTCCGGACCTTGATGGATGCTGATGGAGTCAACCATCAGGAGCCCCCCTCGCTAGACTACGCCCATAATTATTAACCGTTTTAAAAATACTGGAAAGGGAAAGAACAAAGCCCTGACCAGAGCTGCTCATAATCCCAATTTAAAAGATGCGACTTGTTTATTAGCAGAGCAACCGGTCATTTTCTTCTTGAGCTACCTGATGCTACGCGATGGTCCAAAACACCTTCACAAAAATTGGAATGGAAAAAAAAAATAAAAAGGAAGAAATTTAAAATAAAAAAATACAAATGAAATGAAAAGCTGCGTCGGCGAAGAAAGAAAGCCCCTCTCTTACGCAAATTCTCCTCAAAGCAACAATCAGTCCCTCGCTCTCTCCCTCACTCACTCACTCTCTCTCTCTTCTCTCTCTCACTCACACAAAAACATCGCCACAATTGCCAACAATCAATTCTCCATATACTCATAGCCCTTACTACCTATCAAAGCAAACTATCAAAGCAAACCCAGAGACATGTCTAGGACATTAACGATGGCACCTCTTATCTCCCTTCTAATAATCGCACTTCTTACAACCCCAGCAATTTCCTCCGTGGACACTTTTGTCTACGGTGGCTGTTCACAACTAAAATACACACCGGGTTCTCCTTACGAGTCCAACGTCAACTCGCTACTTACCTCCCTTGTTAACTCGGCCACGTTCACCATCTACAACAACTTCACCATCAAGTCCCCAACATCACAGGACACCCTTTACGGTCTCTTCCAGTGCCGGGGAGACCTCTCCAATGGTGACTGTGCCAGCTGTGTAGCTCGTGCAGTGAGTCAACTCGGCACTCTTTGCCTTGACTCGACCGGTGGCGCCTTGCAGCTTGATGGGTGTTTCGTAAAATACGATAACACGACGTTTCTTGGTGTGGAAGACAAGACGGAGGTGTTGAAGAAATGTGGGCCGTTGATCGCGTATGATTCTGATGAGCTGAACAGGCGTGATGCGGTGATGGATTACCTGGGGACTAGTGATGGGTCCTACAAGCCTTTCAGAATTGGTGGTTCCGGGGATATTTCTGCTGTGGCGCAGTGCGTACAAGATTTGAGTACGAGCGAGTGTCAGGATTGTTTGTCTGAGGTGGTCGGACGGCTGAAAACTTACTGTGGGGCCGCTGCCTCGGGGGACTTGTACTTGGCCAAGTGTTATGTTCGGTTCTCCAAAGCTGGGGCCCACTCCCACGGCGGAAATGGTAAGCTGTTGCGCCACCGGCCGGCTGGGTGGTGGTTTAAGGTTTTTTGTTTCTGGCTAAATGTTTCTTGGTTTAAATTAATGAGTAATTAGTGAAAATCCCCATCTTGAATGATCTTGAATTTTACCTAATTTCTACACCATGGCAAACCTAACCTGTGAGACCGGTGCTGTAGTTTTGCATGGTTATTTGGGTAAATTTCAAATTGCTCAGGGTGTTTTTTTCCCTTTTTTTATTTATTTTGTTATGGTTTCCCCCTTGTGTGTGTGTGTGTGTTTGAGAGTGGGAGGTTTGATATGTTCGTCACTTGTCTGGTTAATGATGTTTCGTGTACTAATTTATATGATGATGAGACTGCCTTCCTGGTATGACCGGATTTCTTGACGCATATTGAAGGTGAATGTGGAAGTGTCTATGAAGATTCTGGAGCAAAGTTTATTGAATTTTAGCACTTCTTTATTCCTAGTGGATAATTTCAAATTTTTTGATGGATACTTAATGCTTCAATGCTTTTTCACTGAATGATTTAGTGTTGGTTTTGATCATGAGTTTGACATCAATCCCGTATTTATATTTATATATTGTTATAGATTTGATGGATTTGGAGGTCAAAACCCAAAAGGGAGAATCTCGTAATCGTGCTGTATGTTTGAATTGTTAAAGTTGTTGCACACATGTTCATAAAGAAAAAGCCCTCTAAAGTTCTCAATTACCACACCATGATATAATCAAGGCCCCACTTCTAAATTATTGCCTAACTGGTATTCAAGAAAGAATCCAATGCAAATGAAGTTATTGTGGCCTTAGTTCAGAGTCTTTCTTCCCAGGTGTCTGAACTTTTATAAAGGGGGAGCAAAGCATATTATTACTCAAACAATGTTGAAATTATCACTGCTACAATTTCCAAAATGAATTGGACATGCTGTTCTTGAAAATAATAGCATAATGAATCTTGTTTGACAACTAAGTTGAAGTAATCAATAAACCCTCTCCGCTAATTATGCAGAATGTAGCAAAAAATCATTCACATATAATTAGGTTCTCTTTATTGAGATGATCATTTAGCAACTTATAATTTGTAATTGATGGCAATACACAGCGATTACCTAGGATTGCTAACTATCCTGTCATTGTGCAAGGATAGTGAGATGGTATCTAATTGTTTGATTTTTACCTTCTGCAGTAGATCACGACGAAAATGATGAGGTCGAGAAGACACTTGCAATTTTAGTAGGACTTATTGCTGGGGTTGCATTGCTCATTGTATTCCTTGCTTTCTTAAGAAAAGCTTGTGGAAAAGGAAAAGGTAACTACTTGTTTATCTTTCTTTGCATCTTTATAGTTCTCTTTACTGTGTTCCTTGAACGTTGTCAAAACTTTTCAAATTTTTTAGGTTTAGAAATTGCCAATACTCGTATTATATACGTGCCCTCTTTCAATACGCAGGTGGTAAATAATTGAATCCAAGAAAATATGATGATTCAGGAAATGGCATTTCTCCCTTTGTCCCTCTGGTAACTTGCTTTGCATTATGTGTGGCCCAATTGCTTCCCTTTTGTTTTTGTGGTCTTGATTTCTCTCTTCCCTCTTTTTAAAGTTTCTTTCAAATTTATCCTAAAGAAGGCTTGGAAGGGTAGATAGGAAGATGTCCTTGGAAACAGGTACCTTGAAACAAGTGAAAAGAAAGGTTGCAATAAGGTGAAAAAGCCCAAGGATTCCAAACTCTCCTTACACCCACTTTAGTCTTACAACGTTACTTTAATGTTAGTTCTGCCTCTAATTGTTTTGTATAAATTGAGACCCTTTTGTGAAAGTGCTCTTTGAAATGCTGTAGTCAGTGCCTTTGTTGGGTGATATATTAGAGCTTTATAGTTTGTTTTCATCCAGAAGTTGTATTCACAAGACTTGTTAAATTTTGTGTCAATTCAATGTTCACTTTCCTTTATCTGGAACAAATCCTACTTGTTTTGCTGTTAAAATCCTCTTTATTTCTTGTCATGTGTACTAAGCAACTGTTTCCTTCTTTTCTTTTCTTTTATCACAAGCAAACTGATTGGGGTACAACAGAATATGTGGGACTAATACCAAGATGGAGTTTAACAGACGATCACTATACTTGAATATTTGTACTTTCAGATAAACTAATGCCTTTTTTTTTTCTTGTTTGTCTATGGAATGGTTGATTTTGGTATTTGGAACTGTTTTTTTGAATGCCATCAAGCATGGCTTTCCCCCAGCAACCCCCCCCCCCCCCCCGCGGAGGCGGGTGG